AGGAGTTTTGTAAATTTAAGAGGACAGTTAAAGCCCCTAACCTCGCTCTTCAGCTCTTCGAGAATCTCTTGTCTGAATAAGGGTAATTGGTAAATCTAATACCAACTTAAGGATGTTAATCCATACTTGTATTGAATTAGCACTGAATAACATAACAAAAATAAAACGTTTTAAGCATCCAAGAAACAAATGAGCATGTCATTTCAGTCTTTTCTTGAACAACTTAAGAAGTGCTGCTTATTTCACTATCGCTTGCGTCAATAGACTACTTACCAACGCAAGTTTTTCCATTTCCCGAATACCCAGCTTTACATGCGCAGCTATGGGACCCTTGAATATTACTGCAAATAGCGCTGGCGTCACAGCTGTGGGAGTTTGTGGAATATTCGTCTATATCTGTGACAAAAATTTTAATAAATGCAAGTTAAAATTCAATGAAGCACTCTAACATAAGTCTACCTGCAATCAATCCTTCTTTTTCCTTGCTCCCATTGCAGATAAAAATATTACCTACTCTCAGTTAATTGTGAACCCTAAATAATCCTTATTCTGTAATTTTAAAAGTTAACGGTTAATCTCTAATTAATTCTAAACTTATACTCTCTTTGATAATTTTTTGAAAAGCAAAGCATAGATTATTATTATCACTATTTTCATCACTTTCATCACTACGATAATCATCACAGCCTTGTAGTTTGACATTGTAATCACTTCGAGTTTCAAATACACAGGTTTACCAACTTAAGGATGTTAATTCATATTTTTATTGAATTAGCACTGAATAACATAACAAAAATAAAACGTTTTAAGCATCCAAGAAACAACAGAGCATGTCATTTTAGTCTTTTGTTGAACAACTTAAAAAGTGCTGCTTATTTCACTATCGTTTGCGTCAATAGCCTCCTTACCAACGCAAGTTTTCCCATTCCCCGAATACCCAGCTTTACATGCGCAGCTATGGGATCCTTGACTATTACAGCAAATAGCGCTGGCGTCACAGCTATGGGAGTTTGTGGAACATTCGTCTATATCTGCGACATAAAATTTAACAAAGACTAGTTAAAATTCAATGAAGCAGTCTAACATAAGTCTACCTGTAATTAATCCTTCTTTTTCCTTGCTCCCATTGCAGGTAAAAATATTAATTACTCTTAGTTAATTGTGAACCCTAAATAATCCTTATTCTGTAATTGTAAAAGTTAACGGTTAATCTCTAACTAATTCTAAACTTATACTCTCATTGATAATTTTTTGAAAAGCAAAGCATGAATGATTACTATCACTATAAGTAACATAAGTCTACCTGTAATCAATCCTTCTATTTCCTTGCTCCCATTGCAGGTAATAATATTACCTACTCTCAGTTAATTGTGAACCCTAAATATCCCTTATTCTGTGATTGTCAAAGCTAACGGTTAATCTCAGGACAACAACTGAGAAACGAATAAAGAGTGGCATTCAAAACAACCAAAGAAG